AAAAAAAAAAAAAAAAAAAATATATATATATATATATATATATATATATAAAAAAAAAGGTAAAATTGCACTCTTGAAACTGTTTTGATAATTCTGTGTATGCCAGGGTGCTCAAATGGACTGGTCAAGCCTTGATCAGCCCTCAGAATTGTTCATAGGTTTTATTATTTCTGTACCATCTAGTCAGAACTCATTGTAACATCTGGAGACATGCCTGCTTCCTAAATTGCTAACCAAACACAACTGAGAAGAAATACTTTGGGAAGAGTTCTTTATGTGCCAATAGGCTCTATCTGTGGGTAATTTTAAGTATTTTTATAAGTTGGTACATTGTTACTAATGTGAACTGAAACAGTTACATTTAGAAAATACGCTTTTGTTTCTCACATACAAGCATGTATTTGTCTAACCAATTTCCTTCTTCCTTGAGTGTAAGCAGTATGTTAGAGTTCTATTCACAAGCATTTTTTCTAACATTAAGTCAATATTGAAAATGAAGAATAAAGATATTATAGTATTTATAATATGTATATATTTTAGAACCTGACTATAAAGTTGTGAAGCAGGGGTCTTGAACATCAAAATGCAGTTCAGAATGCTTTGTGTATAGAATATGCACATTCTTATGAAACAACACCATGATCCTGCAGAACAATTTTTGTCGTGCTAAAATCAACTCCTCTTCTATACATACTGCCAATTTATTTTACAAGTTAATGCATTTTTGAGGCTAGCATAACAACAGTCTCTTCCCTCAAAGATTATTTTTAACATATTGATGCTTCCATAGCACATTATTTCAGAACTGGGAACCTATGGGTTGATTTATACATCATTCTTATTTTTTAGGAATGGTAAACTTATTGAAGAAAATGAAAAATATATGCTGAGAGGAAGCAATACAGAATTAACAATAAAAGATATAAAAAATATTGATGCGGGTCCTTATATCTGTAATGCTAAAAACAAAGCAGGAAATGATAAAAAACAGACATTCCTTCAAGTTTTTGGTAAGTACTGCATAGTATTTTCCATCCTTTTTAAATGTAAACAGTAGAGAACTGAGATAGTAATTCGCAATTTACAGTGGAACAATATTCCTGAAAGGCGTCTACTGATTCAGCAAACCACTCTATAATTTTACAGCTTTTTCATCCCTGTTGGCTACTTTAACCTTTACACCTGAATTTAATTTTGAAAGAGCTATCTTCTGCATTTGCTTTTCTACTCTTCAGATACAGTACATTGGAGTGTTAAATTGTTAATTCACTCTGGTTTTCCTTTAAAAGCTGGCTGCTTGCAAGAAAACCAAGAGGAGAAAGGGGAAATTTCTGAAAGGGGAAAAAAACAGCTTATTTAGACTTCTAAGCAGTGATGCTTTTTTGCTTTTTTTTTTTTTTTTTTTTTTTTTTTTTTTTTTTTTTTTTTTTTTTTTTTTTTTTTTAATAAGAAGACACCATGCAGAGGTGTTCCTGATTTTTTTATTTTTCTTCTTTATTTTTATTTTCAAGTCCATGGTTGCAGATGTAGTCACAAAAATGCTGTCTGATCTGAGTTTCAAAGGATAAAAGTAATAAAATGAAAGCTCTTTATTTCTCATTCTGTGCTCTACCATCCAATCTCTCCTTTACATAGAAGTGTTAATTTCTTTGAAGTTTTGTATAGCTATAACCTAGTGAGAATAAGCATCTGTGAGAATTTATAAAACTTCCCTCAGAATCATTGTGTAGGATCAAGGCTGTAGTTTACTTGTGAAAAACCTACAAAAAAAGTAATGTGTTGGGGTTTTACATTAACTACAGCTTGTAGTAGAAAGAAAGACCATTTATATTTGAACAGCTAAAGCATGTACATAGGAGCATGGGAAATTAAATTTTAAGTCCTAGTTAAAACTAATAGTAATTTATATAAAGTGAAACAGTTCTAGCAGGAGAAGGTAATCTGATAGCTTGCACTGAAAGAGCTAAATTGTTAGGTTGGATAATACTGTCATTTGGGATCTGGAAGCCTGAGGCTGAAGCCATGGCATCAGGTGAACAGATTAGATGTAGTTGTGTGCATTGCACTCTTTTCTATTTAAGAAACTCACTTTTTCTACTTGAGAAACTCACACTTTGCTGTTCTGAGGTACTTTAATATTATTCTCAATTACTTTTCCAATGAAAGAAGATTAAATACAATTTAAAATTTCATTCCAGCCTCAAGATGTACAGCATCTTAAAGGTTTTTGTGGAAAACCAAAACATTTCATTAAATTGTGTTTCCAAAATTAAAAAAAAAAAAAAAAAAAAAAAAAAAAAAAAAAAAAAAAAAAATGATATGAGGTTAGGGAGGTTTCAGACAGAACTAATTTTGCATGTTATTTGAGTAAGTTTAAGTGTGGCTGAAATTTACTTAGTTTTTGCCTTGAGCAGGGTAGCTTCTTAATGCAAGGAATAGGGAAAGAGAGTGAATATTTCTTGTATACATTCTTCCATCTTTTAACAACCACTATTCCAGGAACTCTCCAGAAAGCTAAATCGAAATGATTTAATAGATACCATGAGTTTGTTTAATCCATGTTGAACCTACACATCCTTTTTGTTTCCCCCAACATCCTAAACTCCTGAAGTCCTTAAATCTTTTCTTTCTTGCATGAAAAAATATTTTTTATGTTTAAGTTTGGAGCCTATTCATTTGTTTGGCTGATAATTCTTATTATAATATAAAAAGTGAAGAATAATTTTCTGTATGTTCTTTACAACAAATGTAGTTTTATGTATTACCAGTTCATTTACTTTCTAAGATGAGTTTCCCGCCTATTTAGTTTCTCCTACTGTGGAAACCATTATGAATCTCCAAACCATGCATTCCTGTACCTTTCCAGTTATAATCCACTGTTTGTGAAATGACAAGGCAAGAAGGGCACACAGGATTCCCATTGTGGGTAGAACCTGCCTGTTCAGCAGCACAGTGCTGCTTCTGCTTTGATCTCGGTGCCTCCTCACAAAATCAGTTTGCCTCTCTGGCTCTCTCCCCCAGTACGGAACTGGTGTTTCCACAGAACTGCCTTCAGTGTCTCCCAGGTCTCTTTCCTGAGTGGTTATAGCTAATTTCGAGCACATCATTTAGTATGTATATTTAGAGTTAATTTTCCTGTGTGCTATTGGATATATTTAAATTATTTTATAATAATCTGTGTGTTGTTAGTTTGACTTTAGGGAATAATATAATAAATTAAGCCTCTTACCTTATTTGTAATCTCTAAAGCTCAATGTAATTTTAGTCTAATACTGCATTTACAAAGTTCACCTCTACTGTTACTCGGTGGACAGAGTTGTATTTTCTCCTACAAAGAACTTTAGTTTTTCTTTTGTCTCTTTAACACAGGTTAAACTCCCAGTCATATATACAACCAACAATTTATTAAACTTTTTTTCACCTTAAATGTATTAAAAAAAATGCAGTCTGAAAATGGCAAGGCAGATGGCTGATTATTATAGCTAAATAGTACACAAACAGACAGTTTGTGTTAAAATGGCCTATTAAATTACATTGTTCTTTCCTACTCCATTAGCTTACTTGTCTCACATACCTGCTCTCTTTAATTTTAATTTGCAATGTATACTCCTTGGGGCAACGACCGTTGTTTCTACTACAACAGGGCTCTGGCAAGGTTGAAACTTGTAATAACAGTCATGAAACCATAATGCAATAAAAATAATAGTAACATAGTATTCAGCATTGCAAATTTCTAATACTCTGCACTTTTGAATGGCCATGCCCATCTTAATGCCATCTAACAGCTGTGTATGTTTAGTTTCCATGCGTGACCTAGATATTTTTGGTTTTGTTTTTGTTTTGGGGTTTTTTTGTTTGTTTGTTTCCAGTATAAGTGTTAAAAAAACTGTTTTGTCTTCAATTCTAATTCTTACTCTGACAGTTTTTCTACAATACTAACACGTGTATAGAAACCTATAGGCATACACCCTGCTCTCTCTCTTCATCTTTATTAGTGCTTTTTATCTGTTCTACCTAATAAGACATGGAAGAGTAAAGAAAGCCCTATTTCCCTCAGAGAATGTCTTACTGATCATCTCTGTCTGTCATCCTGTTATCTGCAATAGTTCTCCCTGTATCATTATCCATTACTACCTAAAAGATTTCATCCATGTTAACGTACTAAGGTTTTTGATAGAAATTGGTTTATGTTTATTCCTTCTGAACAGCTTGAAACCATAGGTGTTCTTCCTTGAATTCTTAAAAAAATATTTTTAGTGTTTGTCTCTGCTTGGTAGAAAACTTTTTATATCTTTTTTACCTTTCATCTTTTTCAGTTTCATTGTTTTCAGATGTAATTCATCATATATATATATATATATGTGCGTGTTTACACGCATGTGAATTAGCATTTTTAATTACGAAATACCACATTTTTACAACTGTGGGCACCCCAACAAAAAATTCCAAAATAACATAATAACAAGTAGTTGATCTAAGAGCAGTGAAGAATATTCAATACCTTAAAGCCTTCCTACATCGTTTCACTTTCGCAGGGCTAAACTTTAATTTCTTCATTCCCTCTCCAGACTGATGCCAGTAGTGTTCACTTACCTTATAATAAAAAAATCTTTTCAGAAAAAAATTTAGCTTTACTTAAACACATGTTTATGCTTTATAAGAATAATGCTTATATTCTGAGGATAGTTTTTATAATTTCATTTCTTTTGTTCTGTAGTTTCTCTTTTCAACTCCTTAATGACTCAGATGCTTGGTTCTGCCATTCAGTGATTCATAAACAGTTGAGATTTTCAACAAGCTTTCTCTCTTTTGTACATATGCCATAGAAAGAGACATTTCTATGTCTAATAATTTATATTTCTAGAGAGAGAATTGCTAAATAATTGGATGAAGTTCTCTATGGTGTATGTGTTTTACCTACATAATCAATGAGAGGGTAGTCTGAGATTATAAAAAATGTTTCATTGACATTTCAGTAGTTTCTGACAGTTGATTTCATGAAAGTTGAATGTGGGAAAAATACCTCAAGAAGCATTACAAAAGACCATTTATAATTATTGTATAGTTTAAACACATACTATTTTTATTTCTAGATGTCTTTTTAGGTATAATATGAATCTTGTACAGCGGGAGGGGTTTTGCATCTGTGTTCAATGTAACTTCTGTTGGTTATTGAGAAAATATATTTGATTAATTTATTATCTATCATCAGACAGATTAGAGGAAATGAAGTTTAACGATTACAGCCACACAAAGTGCAATTCATCAATTAAAAATGTAGTGTCAGAAGTCTATAGAGTTTGTATATTCCTTCTTCCTCCCTCTTACATCCTTACCTGTTTAGAACACCTCTACTTTTTGAAATAAAAATTATTCAATCTATAAAGACAGTGATGCCAGTTCTCTCAGAAGATAAATCTTAAATCCTTTTGAATGTGAAGTAGTAATACCATTTTAACATGTACAAAGACTCAGGTTTATTGTGCACTAAAATAAGTCAACTCTTCATACTGGCGTCTGTGCAAATCCTTATTATGTCAGGAATCAAGTTACAGGAATCTGTTTCTTAGATATTTCCTTATTGACCTTTAGCTTGTTTACTAAGTTCAAATTGTACCAGAAGTTTCCAGGAGGAGAGGGTTGCAGTTTTGCTACATGATTCAAATGTCACTGTGCAGGAAGATAATGAAAGAGTATGATTCCTCAGGTGTCATCTTAATCAAGAGATCCTATCAGGCAGCAATACAGATATATACTAAACCTCTCAGCGGTAAATCCATGTTTGTATTAATAACAAGCTGTTTAAAGCAGTTCTTTTGATGAGCTATAATCAGGACTATCTCAAGCTTTATATATGTTCCCAAGTCTGATGCAACTCCTTTCTCAAAGATATGGGTAGAACTCTATGAATTTACTAAGTTGTGTACCTTTTCCAAGAGATCAGTTTAAGTTACAAATCCAGAACCTCAGATTGCTATCCATGTTGTTCTTAAGCTTTTGGGGGAGGCTGTAGGTACACAGCAATGAGCTTAGCTGTTGTCTGAGACAAATCCAGAAGAGACCAAGGAATGAATCTGAAATAAGCTTGTTTATTGGGGAGGTGTTAGAAAACTTAATATCAGCTTTCTCTGCTCAGAGAGCAAATGTTATTTATTTGCCTGCATCATACTGTTAATATTTTAAAAATGCATGTCTAGTAATGAGCTGTTCCTTACCTCCCAAATAAAATAATTCTAATTAAGTTTAAGCATACCTTCTATCTATATTCAAGCCTTCTTTCATTTTAATCAGGTCATTCAGTCTTCAATTCTTTAAAGTACCTTATAATAAAAATATTTCAATATTTTTGACTGAAAAAAACAGCAAAGACCTGGAAGCTTCCTGGATTTACGTTCGATGACCCCGTATCTTCATTTGTTTCGTATTTTCTAGAGTACAGCAAGCAAATACAAATTCAGCTTGATAATTACCTTGGTAATTTAGAAAGAAGAGTTAAAGAATTGGGGAGGGGAAAGCCAACTGTTGTAGTATTTCTGTCAATACTAGTCTTGACATTCTCAAATAAATATTGTTATTTACATGTACACTAAATATTTTAATATTTTCAAATCTCAAAAATGTAATCCAAAAAGTAGTCAAACAGTGTAAAAACTTCTGTTCAATAGCAAGGTAGGACTTGTGACCAACAAAAATGAATCCATTAAATAATATACCCTATATTATCTCTTTTCTTCCTAGTAATAACTCTCAGTGAGATATATTTGATGATTAATCAGTGCTTATTCCTTTAAATGTCAGCTGCTCTTGTCTAAAATGTCAAGCTAAAACTTTTTGTCTTGTAGTGATCCATTTGAAGAAGGCCTTAAAGAAATTTAGAATATAAGTCGAAGATTAAGAATTAAAGCATATCAGTTATGTTTTAGAACATGCATTATCGTGAGCAGATCATATAGTTTGTAATATTGTCCAGATGGAGAAATCCTCTTGTTCTGATGGAAATAATGTAATTCTAAATTTTGCAAATTTCTGACATAAAATACTGTGTATTGTGCTTTTGGGTTTTTTTTAAATAAGTGATATATCTGCCGTAGCTCTTACTTTGTTCCCAGGGATGATGATATATCAAAGGAGAGAAAGGAAAGAATAGATGATATCGTAGCCAGGAGACATGGCTATAGAAATAGAGTAGTTGAGTACTAAGGTAAAATATTTTTTAGTCATTTGTATGATCCTGAAAGTGAGAGTAATAACTAAAGTTATTTTGAAGTTAAATATAGTTATCTTTTATCTCAAATTCTTTTTTGGAGTTCTTTCAACTGACATCTCTTGTTATATCACTGAGGAGAGTTTCAGGTTTTCTCAGACAAATTTATGTCCTGCTGTAGTGCTTTGCTTACTATCTTCTACTGCATCCAATAAACTGGATCCAGCTGACATTTCAAGAGCCCCTTATCATGCAGGGTATTTTCACTCTGCACATGATGTCGCTCACAATAGATTATATCTTAACAAAACAGGGTATTAGTTCAGTGCTTTGTTAGGTAAAGTATTACTTGTTTTTCATCATTGTGCAATAAACACACAGTAGATTATTTGTAATAGCATAGAAAAGCAGCAGAAGGAATATGGAGATAAGGAATAAGAAGTAAGACCTAGGGTGGTATGGTGGAAATAGATAAAATTGATGTAGGTGATGTATATCTGGATATAGCAAGTTTGAACCTCGTTTTATTACTTTTCTTGGTAGTGCTGAATGCAGCATCTATGAGACAATTGTCATAAATGAAACAGTGGTCATAAAATAGAAAAGAACACTAGACATAAGGAAAGCATTCTTCACCATGAGGACAGCCAGGCACTGCAACAGGCTGGTGAGAAAGACTGTGCAGTCTCTGTTCTTGGCATTTTTCAAGATAGTGCTCAACAAATCTCTGAACAGGGTGTGTTGACCCTATGTTGATGAGGTTGGTCAAGATGACTTCGTGGGGTCCCTTCTACCCTGATTGACTCTCTTCCCTCTTTTGATCCACTAACATTAACCAATAATAATCTTCTGCATAGCACATACTTTAGTAACCTCATTAGAAAATGTTACCTCTTTGTTTATTTTCTGCTTCATATTTATCTGCTTTTTGCCTCTGAAGCAAAATTCAGGAAAACTATATAGAAAATACATTATTTCCAACAAATGTACATAATGTTTATAGTCAATGTTAAGAGTACTGAAAGTTTAATTCACTCATGTAAACTTAATTCACTGGTTTTGGGTGTAAACGTATTGAATCATATTCTTATTACATGATTACATGCTAGGTTTTCCAGTGAGATGAGTGTATCATTGAATGTGTAAAATGGGTAGGTTCACAGAAACTTATTAATGGTTATATATGAGTGAATATATAGGACCAAAACATTTTATATGAAGATACTTGAATGCCATGGAAGAGAGTAATATTCAATGCATAGTTTCTACAACAGAGTTCTTGTATTTTATTGAACAGATAAGTCCTCCAAATAAGTGTTCATATGTAACCAGAAATTGTGTTGCATGTGTAAATAACCTGACAAAGTACAGTGTATTTTGAGAGTTGTATTTGCTGTGTGGCTTGTGGCTATAAAGTGAAATGATACCAAGAATTCAAGCAATATCTGGAATTTTTTTAATATGTCTTACCACTTTACTCAGTAAGTAAAGATGTGTAGCTTTTTATCAGAGGACTATTCAGGTTTTTATCATGTTAATACCAGTACAGTTTGCTGCAGGGGATTTTGTTAAATTCAGTAATTTGTATAAGACAGTTAGATGTTGCTGAAGATCAAAGTCCAAGCATATTAATAATTCTTTATTTGTATTTGAAGACAAACACAGATTATCATAGAATCAAAGAATGCCTGAGACAGGAAGACACTTCTGGAGACCATCTAGTCCAACTCCCTGCTCCTATCAGAGTCAGACAGTGGTGGTGTCTCAGGACCATGCCTAGCTGGGTTTTGAGCATCTTTAAGGATTGAGACTCCACAGTCTCCTGGGCAGCTTGTTCTGCTGTTTAGTTACCCTCTCAATAAAAATGTTTTTCCTCTTCCTGTGTTTCAATTTGTGCCCATTGCCTCTTGTCCTGGCACTGGGCACCACTGAGAAGATTCTGGCTTTATCTGTACTCACCTCTATCAGGTATTTATACACATGGCTAAGATCTCTGGAGGCTTTTCTACTAAAGGGTGATTTACTGGCTCATAGTCAGCTTCTTGTCCACTAGAACCCTCTGGGTCCACTCTGCAGAGCTGCTTTCCAGCCACTCATCACCCAGCCTGTAGTGGTGCATGGAGTTCCTCCTTCAGGATCATCATGGAATCATTGAATCATGGAATCTTTGCTTCATTCCTGAAGTAGAGAGGGCTGGCTGGTCTCTTAAGCTAGGAGCAAAGCACAGAAACACAGCCACCAGGCCAGGGTCCTCATCAGTCAGGAACCATCCCACAATAGCCCAACAAGGGAGCAGGCAGTCTGGAGGGTGTCAGCCATGCTGAGCCAGTAGTCCAGGTCATCAGACATACAGAAATGGTTGTTGTGCACCTCAAAGTCAGAAGACTTGATTGCTCTTATAGATGGTATCATTAAACCTTTAGTTGAATAATAAAAATCAATGTGCTTTAACAAAACATAAAAGGTGGTTTAAAATCTAGATTTTGACATGACATTCTTTGTACAGGATGGTAATGTAATTTGTATTTTTAACAGTACAGCCTCAAATAATACAACTTAAAAATGAAACCACATTTGAGAATGGGAAAGCCACCCTCATCTGTGAAGCAGAAGGAGAACCTATCCCAGAGATTACTTGGAAAAGGGCCATTGATGGAATGACTTTCTCTGAAGGTGACAAGGTAAATCAACCTTTAATGTCTAAAATATTTGAAATAAGCATTGTCTGGCTAATCTTCTTTTTATAAGTAGAAAATTAATTTAGAGAGAGATAAATTCTAGTTTCCTACAGAACTGGAAGGAATTGCTACTTTCCAAGGTAATAAGAGAGACTTGGAGATTCTAAATTTTAAATTTAAAAGGAAACCAAGAAAAATGCAATTAAAGTGCTGAAAGGTAATTCATCTCACCAGGCCTAAATTTTCATACATAATACCTACTAAGGGATTCAATTTTGCCTTGATCAAAATGGCTGTCTGTAGGCCTTCTTGACTGTATTTGGACTCTGTGCAGTTTTTTTCAAAATGCAGTGGAGCTTATACAAATCTGAAATAAAAAATTCTGAATACTTGGAGTTCATTTTCCACTTATGATTTTTTTCCTAATTTTCTTTTTTCTTTTTCCTCACACAGAGCAAGTAGTCTGTAGCTACAAATTGAGCCTATTTTTCCATTTTGTTTTCTGATTTTCATATTTTATTACAAAAGTAAGTTGAGTAGAGAAAGATTACATTATGACAGTCGGTTATTAAGAAAGTCAGTCACTGTGGGAACAAGAGCTATAGTAATGGTGAAAGCAAAAGGGAAAGGTGTAGTGTTACTCCTAACCATGCAGATAACAAGCTGTTTCTACAGAACTCTTTGTGTTTTTCCTTTTATTAAATATTTTTATTTTAGTATTTGAACAATTATTTTCTTCTTAATTTCCATACATAAAATACAGAATTTCTCTGTGTTGGTTAAAATATGAGATACCATCTTTCTGGATGGCTAATTCAGAATTTTTACTCCAGATAATCAAATAGCAAAATACAGTCTTCTTGCAGATGTCTGCATATTCATAGCTGATGCTTAAAAAAACAAATTAACAGACTAATACAGCAATCATGCCACTGAGGGAATTAGATACCCAATAAGTTATTCAGTTTATAGGGAATTCCTGTATATTACGGAATTATATACTTCCATATTTTGTATTCTGAAGGAGGATGTCTGGTCTGGACTAGTCTCTTGACTTGACCTTTCCTGCAATTGAGGTAGTTTATGTGAAGCCCTGTGATTTCCATTTGGGAGCAACATAACAGTATTTATATATTTTTTTCAAATAGTTTTGCATTAAAAGAAAACAGTTTCTCTCCTCCTTAAATATTTCAAGTCAAAGGTCATCTTTCCTACCCACAAGACTAAACTTGGTTCAAAGGTTAAAAATGTAGCTTTTCAATTCTGTGTGGAGTGTTCCTAAAATAACTGTTACATCAGAAATTGAAAATTAAAGCAAATCACAGAAACAAGCTGAGAAATGTTGGTGCAGATGAAACCAGAAATTTATCCAGTGCTTAATATAGCACAGTATTACATTCCCGATTCAAACTGCAGGTGATTAAACTGTCTAGATGTGTTACTATAAAATTCGCTGAACTGTGGTGCAAGTGCATAATACTGACAACCAAACTAAAACCTATGTTCACTCTCTACTGGTGTGCTGACATACTGTATGTGGAAGATAAAAAGAATGAGAATAAATGCAGTCATATGGTTTCCTTTTTTTCTTGCCAATGGAAGAACTATATATGTATTGCTCATGGGAGAGTTTTTGCTGAATGTTGAATAGATGTTCTGAAATTCTGTATATGTTCTTGAGCTATAAAATATGCTGCTGCTCTTCCCCTGTGGTCCTCCATCTCTAGGGTGCCAAAGTCCTGGCTTGTGCTTTCCTACAAAAATAGGTGAACAGGGAACAAAACTGGCAGTGATTAAATTACTGAATAATTGTTGAATAATCCAGCAATGTTTTGCACACTGAAAGAGAAGGGAAAGGTGAATTGAAGAAAATTGCGAGGGTGTGAGGGTGTGTGTGTGTGTGTGTGTGTGTGTGTGTAACATAGGCTTAAATTGAAATTATTACTTACGTGATAATTCTGAAGTAATGTCCAGTCACCAGATTTACTTGCATAAACAAAAGTTACCATCTAAATTGAGTGAATTAATCTTTGAAATTTTTTTGTTATAAACTGCACTTTATCCAACATTTTTGTTGAATTAAGAATATCTTTGGGGGATATTTTTTTCTTCTGTAGAAGATGGAAGAACTTCTCTAACTATAATATTAACATGCGTGATGATGATTAAAAAACACAGCAAATGTTGTTCTTTATTAATTATTACTTTTAGTATCTAGATCCTCAAATATGTTGTTCTTGCTCTGCTAAAATGCAAGTATACATCATGTGGATAAGGAGGAAGGCTGAATTGAGATAATTCTTATTGTGAATGGATCCAAAATGTTTTCTTTTGAATGATGGATAGATCTTATAACCAGGACATAGGCTTTTCTGCATTTTGAAATTATTTTGTCCAAAAGAATGGAAAATATGCACCAGTCAGATCAAAGAAATAACCCTGCTGGGCTTAAGGAGGATAATGTTAATGAGTAAGAGGTCTATAATTATCTCTTAGAAAAATACGGCTTTGATAAAGGATTTTCAGTACATCAGAAGTGAGTTTTTGAAAGTTGAAGCCAAATGAGTTCAAACCAGAAGCAAAGAAGCCTTTTCCTCTTTCCTTTTATCAGTTAGCTTTTGGAACAACATACCACACAGTTTGTGGTCCCTCTTTCATTAAGAATTTGAAATAAAGGTGTCTTTCCCCTTCCTTTGACTTCTCTTGAAAATTTAAATTGAAAGTTTTCCAGGAGGTCACATTATATGACCTCAGTACTCCTTTTATGGCTTTATAACCCATAAATACATGAGAGTGGGTAAGCCTGAGTAAATGGATTGATTATACATGACAGAAGGTGTTTGGCTCACCCTTAAAGATTTGAAAATGGAAATGGAGGTTTAATCCAAGCCCAGAGCTTCATCTGCTGTTGCAGTATCAAGCCAAAACTCTCTGCTTGGTGCATGTACTTCTATCCCCAACTCCCCAGTATTGCATGTCCTTTCATTAACGTGCCAACCTGGCCATGCCCCTTTCAGCTGTGATTCGAAATGGCATGTTCCTATAGACCTCTGTGCATCCAGCAGGCCTGGCCCTTTTCCCAGTTAAAAGAGGAGGCAGGAAGAGAGTAGCTTTTTGTAGAACAGAAGGAAGGATAGTGATTGGATTTGATTTGCTGTAATCACTTATAAAATGGGTTTTGGACATGTACATAGATATCTACATACATGCCTGAAGGAGAGCATATCTTCTTTCTCTGATACAAAAATGTCATTGATTCCTGTGCATACTGCAGAAGTGTGAGGGTAGACTTTCATGCTTTACTTTTCTAGTATCTAATTCTAGCAGAAATATGAAAGCTGACCAACGTTGTTTGTAATTACCATTTCAAGCCCTGTTTTGGAATACAAATGACAATAACAGATGGGGCTTGATTTGAGACAGTAGCTCCACTGTGTGCAGCATGTGTCCAAAGAGAGTCTTTATCCTGAAGAATTTAATCTAAACATGTAAAATGAGTGAAAGAACACAGTGCAGAGACGTCACCGTCCAGTATCTGATACTCAGTTTTGATAATGCCTTATGTATGGGGTAACTGGGTAACAAAGAAACAAAGAGGTGGAAGGGAAGGCAAGAAAGAGGTCTTACAAATTGGGTTTTGGATTTAAGATATATGAAATGGTACTGTATTTTTTTATATATTTTATACAGATTCAACAAATGTTTTTGAAATACTTTACACTATTCTTCCTGTATCCACAAGTAAAAAAGTATCTGACTTTTAACTTTATAATGAGGACTAGAGACATAGCTTGAGTTCTGCTTCTTTCCACCTACCTACCATTCCAATAATAATTTGGGTGTCCCTGTGAAATATCCAGTGACATGTGTTCCAAATGTTGCAGAGCTCAGCTTTCATGATCAGGCAATAGGCAAATACAAAGAATTTGGGGTTTGTTTTGTCTTTTTCTTTGAAAGGTGAACTCTGCTTTTTCCCCAAGTCTGTTAACTCCACTCCAGCTATTATAAATGTTAATAACAAGAGACTGAAAATTTTTTTTACTCCCTGTATATGCTATTTTCACTGCACAAAAAGAAGCAGTGTTACAGTGTCAGTGACTTAAGTTGCCTTTCTTTTGAGAAAGTAAAGAGACCTCTGTTATGTTCCTGCTCATCAAGGATCAGGTCTTTATTTGAAATGTATCACCCAGAAGGAGGAAACACAGACCTATCTAGGGAATTTTAATCACAAATTAACCTCAGGAACTTTTCTGCTTTGAATGGCTGTAAAACTATAAGGGGCAAGTCTCATTGCCTTACTGAAGAAAATTGTTATAGCCTGTTTCAACTACATGTTGTGTGAACAGCTTCTACTTACAATATCATAGAATATTTTTTCTAATATAATCATAGGCCAGCAGGCCAGAATGGTTTATGTAGCCAGCTGCAATTGTGTTTCATAATGCAGTTGAGACACTGCAAAGAATTCAATCAGACATCAAATAAATTTTTCTTTTGTTTTTAACCCCAGAATGATGAGCTTCACATGTTAAAACTGTGAAATACAAGAGTAAGAACATTGTGACTGAAAGGGGAAGGTAAATAAATGGCCATGAGATTGAGTGGAACACAGGAGGTTGACCTTGAATATTAGGTAGTTCGTGCTGTTGAGAATATACAGATTTATACCTTGTGGCATATGCAAAACATGGAGCACATAGGAGAAATGAATAATATACTCTCACCAGTCATCTGATCCACAGAAATCTGCATATGTTTTGGGGCTTCTTCATTTTCTCTATGGCATGTTTAGCTACACTAATATGGGCTTAGGGCAAACTCTTCAGTTAACTAGAAGGAGCTAAAATAGATGTACAGTTTTGGGAAATGACAGTACTTTAGTAGCAGGATTGATTTTTGGAGGGGTGAGATTGTATGCAGTTAGAAATTAAGAGTAGTTTTCCTGGGTGAGCTGAGGAAGCAGTACAGTAGGAAAGTTGCAAGGCAATGTGGATATTTCAAAG